AGGTCTTCAGAAATGGAAAACACATAGATGGTTTCAAATCCACAGCCCAAAATGGATGCAAAAAAAAAAATACAAAATAAGGGGATGTCTGTAAAAAATATACACATAAATTAAAACATACAAGATATAATGGTAATTAGTTAGATAATTACTACCACTAGTTTCCCTGAGTTTCAAGCTGCAAGAGAATTTGATCCCATGATAGTAACCCAAAAACTGCTCTCTTAGCAGAATGATTTGCCTGCTGGGGAGACACCTCAGCCTGGAAACACACACTGTCAGGTCACAGTCTGAATTATTGATTCTTGGTGTGCTCATGGTTCAAGAAGGATCAGACACACTCCAAAGTAAGGCAAGCACAAAAATGAGGTTTAGTGAGGAGAGAAAGATAGAATTATACAGCAAGAGCAAGATATAGGTTTACAGAGCAAGATACAAACCCCACAGATGATGACCGGATCCATTGTCGTAGCAAAAGAGAGAGAGCTTGGAATTGGTCTGGGTCTTGTTTTATAGTGCCTGGATAGGGACCTCCCCATGGCTCGGACATCACCATGGAACCACTTTCATCAGACAATTGGGAGTTAAACGACCACAGTCTTACTATGCATGAAGATTTCCCAGGAGCCTCTCTGAAAGCTCATTTGGAGGGGTGAACTGCAAAGGCACCCACTTTCATCCTAGAAGTCCCAGAATTCTTCACTATCTACATAAAAATACTGTACTTGCAAGAGAAGTAGAGCAGGGACTAAGGCAACTAGACCTGTAGCACCTCCTTTGTTCTTGCTAGAATGGAAGGGTCAATTGCATCACATGCCCAGAGAGGCTGGGGCAATTATTTGGAGTGGTAGCCTCCTAGGTCCAGGAAGCTTGGGTCAATTTGACATATTTATTTTAAATTTTATCCAAAAAAGGATAAAGCAGAAGATTCTGTGTATCTTACTAAAGAATGATGAAAAGGATAAATGCCTTGCTATATAGTAAAACACATTAGAAAGTTGGCATTAAAACAGATGAAAGATGTATAGAGATTTATAACACTATAGAAGTGAGTACTGGAGCTATGGGACCAAATAAAAGGGCCAAGACAAGAGAAGTTGGAAAGCCCTGATTATGGAACATAATGCATGCCATGCTAAAGAATTGCCGTTTGTTTCTCAAGCAACTGAAGCATCGTAAACATGAGACTGATGTGGCTAAGTTGATATTTAGGAAAAGTTTCTAAATCCCAATGAGATCCACTAGAGAATCTATCAGAAGGGGATAAAACCAAGAGAGCAGATGACATTAGTGCAGTAGTGAGAATGGAGAGGATGGGAAATAACAAATATATTATGATTGTAATTGGGATTAATCTAAGAATTGTGACTGGGAGGAGATAAGGTGGTGCCATACACGAAGGCAGAGAACACAGGTTTGGGAAAGACAGGATTGAGATGTACAGTTCAGTTTGGGTCATGTTGAGACTGAGTTGGAGGTATTTCGGTGGTTCCAGTTGGAGGTATTTGGGTGGTTCCTGGCATGTCAGTTGTTGCATGGACTATACAGACCCCTCTAAGCACAGGGTGCCATAGAAAGAACTGTAGGCTTCTACAAATTTGCCCATCCCCTTCAAATTATATTTTTAGTTAAATATAATAATATTACCACCTGCATCTTAGAAAATGTTCATGTATCTTAAAGTATGTTCATTTAGTCATTTTTTCATTCATTAAATAAATATTTATTGAACACTTACTACAGGCCAGACAATTTTATTAAGAACTGAAAATATAATAGCAGATTATATTAAGAGTGGGGAGAATGGTATATAATCCTTGTCCTGATGGAGTTTAGCATGAGTAAAAAGACTCATACAAATGAATATATAAACACAATT